GAAACAAAGTATGGGCAGTTTTGCAACTGCGCGATTCTCGGCTGACTTCCTTAAATAAGACACCCTTCAGTTTTTAGGGTAAGGATTTTAGAAAAAAGTATCGTCTTATAGTCGGAAAAATACGGTACATGAAATTACTTTTTCCAGCATCAGAAAGACTGGTTCTTCAAATGCAGGAATGTGCTAAAGCTGGTTAGGAGGCAACAGCCTTCAACCTGTAACTAATTAAGGTCTTGTCCATTTCAGGCAGCGCAAGCCCACCAGAGGGTACTAAGTAACTAATTAAGGTCACAGAGCAGAACTTGTTAACTTGTGGTTAGTACTTGTTAGGGAAGCTGCAGGTGGAGAAAAGCTGCTCAGGTCGCTTGTTAGATACTCAAAAAGGCCAACAACATTTGATTTTAAAGCTATGCCTGCCGAGGGCATGAAAACGAAAAGGAGGGCATGTCCTCCTTTTGCCATATGTCTGGTAACCCTAAACATAATAAAAATTTGGGCATAAAGGATATATTGATTTGTTATGGTTGTGAGAGTATTGTTGTTAGTTGTGATATGCATTGTCTGGATTTCTTTTCCTCTCTCTTTTGTTTGTTGTGAAGGTGTTTTAAATACTTACTATATTTGTGTTTTTTTCATTAAATCCTACACCAAGAGAAAGAGTTTGGAGACACAACTTGTCAAACCCTGGATTACTGCACAAGTTGGCGATGGCAGCTTTCAATTTCAGGCTGAAAAGGCAGTATTCTTTAGTACCCCATATAAGCTAGCAATAAAAAAAAAAGCAGAAATTAATGTGAATCTGTTTAGAAACTTACTGACAGTGCTTACCTCCTTCCATTGCCAACTATCAGCTTTTCAAGATAGTTAAATGGCAGCACAATGAAATGGCCTTTTTTAGGGTTGGGGGAGAAATCTGTTTGATGTCCTAATTAAATTGAATATCTCCAATTTTACTCTTTTAAACCAAATCACAAAATGAAACAGGCAATGAGCAAAGCAACTCAGTGAAAAGATGCTCATTACACCCCTTTCAACATTAGTAAATAAGCACATATTTAAATTACTTTTTGTGCAATAATGTTTTACATTTGTTTGTTTGTTTATTTATTAAACAAGTTTATATGGCCACCCATCTAACCTATGGAACTCTGGCTATATAAATTTGCTTAATAAATAAAAAAGTAAATGTTAGGGAAATTGCTTGCAAACAATGCATAGACTAGGGTTTAAGGAAACTGGTGTATTAGGGAAACGCTCACGAAAACATGGACAAGTTTTTTTTTTTTTTTTGGTCTGTTGAATAAAATCTTGAAATTGTGTGGGTGAAAGAGGGTGAGTCAAAAGCAAGAGTTGAAAAATGAGAAACTGAGGAAACAAAATTTGTAGATCTGACCATCATACTTTTGCTCTCCCTAGTATGGTTTCTTTAACATATAATACCAGGACTTGGTGGTCCTTCAGCATCCCAACTTCCATGGCAGTTATGAATTGGAAAATGGGGGACTGACAATCACAGAAGAGATATGAAAAATGGTATTGAATCATATAGAATAAAAATAATTTGAGGAATGACTTCCAGGGAAGCAATTGTGGACTGAAGATGCCTCCATGAGAGCAGAGCCAATGGCCATGGCAGAAGGAGGAACCAGTGAATGGATGGGCTCCTCGGAACCCCTCTCTGGATTAGGGAGAGGACTAGGATCACCCATAGATTTGCTTCATAGAGAGGCTCCCCACAAAGAGATTGTAGAATAGAGATCTGGCAGGTTTGAGAGCTCTGGGAGCTGGGGGAAAATCATCCTGCCTAAACTGTGGTTTGGTGCCTTCAAAAGGAGACTGGGTTTGCCCACTTCCTCTCTTAATTACCTCAAGAAATTGCTTGTTATCGATTATTTGGTTGTTAAGAACCTTCTGAAGGGCAAGTTTCATTATACCGGGAGAGCTTCCTTCTATTCTGGATGAAAGAATTTTTGTGTAATTTAAAGAATAAAAAAAATTTTTTTTTTTGGAAAACAGCAAAAGAGGGACTAGAATGTTGATTCTGGAAAGTTAAGGGGCCAGACAGACTTCAAAGAATACTCCCTGTGGGTTGTTTACAATTTTATAAAAATATATATGAAGATTTTGAAATTAACTGTAAGAAATTTTCTGGTGGGAAAGTTTTGCTGATTGGAAAATAAGCATATGATAAGACAGACTTTGAAGTTTGATTAGAGGGAACTAGGGAGAACTAAGGATTACAATTAAAAGAAAAGAGACCTATTAATACAATGGAGCAACATTATCTGACTATAGAAGAAATTAAGGCTGTCTGGGAACAATGTACTCAAAAATTACTTTCAAGATTGTTTGCCACTATAAAAATGTATCTGACAGAGGCTACAGAAGAGGATCAGTTTTTACTGGGCAAAATAGAGACTGAGACTGACTTGAATGTGGATTTGAAAATGGATTTCAAAAAAATGTCAGACTACAAGAGTGATATGGAAAAAGATGCTACCATGGATTTACAAATGAAACTGGCTGACATTTTAATAACTAAAGGGGACATACAAATAAATAAATAAATAAATAAATAAATAAATAAATAAATAAATAAAATAAAGTGTGACTTGGATAGTCTTATCTTGGATTTACAAAAGGGACATGTTAAACTACTGAAGCTGTTTCTGAGAGGAGACAAAGAGAAAAAGATAAGAAAACTTGTGGAACATTATTTGAAGGGATTAAAGATCAAGCTTTTTAAAAAATAAAATAGAAGGAATTCAAAGTGAATTTATTTGATCAGGGTTAAAATATAGATGTTGGGGTCTCTGGTAGCTATTAATGGAATTTCTTTTTGACCAGGATGAATGATGAGGCTTTAAAGATTTGTTTATAAATGAGGAGAAATTTGTTCTGCTTTATTCTTCAGAGGAAGTGATAAACTGGAATACAAAATGAATGTATTTGATTAAGGTTAAAATATATATGTTATTATTCCTGGTACCTCTTAATGGACTTTTGCTGAATAGGACTGAACAAGTTTTTACAATTTATTTATTGATAAGAGATGAGATACAGGAAGAAGAGATTTTATTAAATTGAAACACTAGAGAAGGTGTTAAGTTACTGAAGTTGTTTATATTTGTCTGGAGGGAGGGGGGAGTCATT